CTTTATCATTTGGTCTAACGAATTATAACAATTTCATAGTCCAACTTCTTTTTATTTTGGTAGAAATAAGAGGATTTTAAAAATATTTACACGTATTTGTTAACTGCAGTTTTTTTTTCCTTGGGCTGAACTCCTAATAATTCTACAAAACTCAAGGAACATAAAACAATAGATGATTAATTACACTCAAATTTCTGTGCTCAATCTAAATCTTTTCTGACCATCAATATTTACTTTGTTGAAAAGGCAAGAAAGGCCAAAACTGTTTCAATGATTAGGAAATTGCCATTTGGTCCTGTACTTCAATTAATATAGTTCCTCATCTCTTACAAATTTACAATTAACCAACTTGATCCCTTATCTCGACAAAATATCGCTAATGTAGGACTTTTAACGATGAACTAGAAAGTTATATTGATCAAGTCATGTGCACTACACGTGCACCATTAAAATACAAGGGAAAATCATGAAAATAGTGTGACAGCCTCACCTCCCCCCTAAGGCGAACCAAAGGGTTTGGTGGACCGCCTGCCCAACTCTCATCGGGACTCAGTCGTTCACTTCAGTCTTTAATCAACACCAGAACAAACCCATAAGAATAAATATAACAATGATCCAAAACTTAAGACAAAACTTATATACATTGCTATCTCAAAAGGAAATACAAACGTCGAATCTACAAAGGTTCTCAATTCACCATACAACCAGCCCGTGCCAAGCACTAGGGCGAGAACCATTACAAAATCAAAGAACTAGACCAAGCTAGTCTATACAGAGCTCTCGTCCTTGCTCGCCTTCCCCTGTTAAGGAAAACAAAATTAAAGGGATGAGTTAAAAGCTCAGTGAGGTTCCGAACACATAGGCGAAGAATAAGTCTAATGCATTCACCATATATAACCAATAATTCAAGATACAAATACAAGATAAAGCGATAAACACATTCATTAAAAGAATACGGGCTCACAGGGAGCCATATATTCGTTCGTCCATTCGTTCTCCTGTCATTCCCCCTTATTCCTCCGGTCATTAAAAAAAATGCATTTTTGTAAGTAAAACCCTCGTTCGTTCGTTCATTTCATTCACCCCCTCCTGGACATTGGCCAGGCTCCACCAGAATACAAGGTAATACTCGAGTATACCACATTTATACCCAGGGTCACCATATCGTCCGACCGAGTCTGCTTCTGGCTCGAGTCGATCGGTAACGAAGGGCAGGGTCCAATTCAGCCAAAAGACTTACATCATGCACAACTAACGTTTCAATCATTAAATCATTGAAAATTTCACATTCATTTAGGTCGAGTGCGATAAAGTACACACTCGCCTAGAAACCTCGTTTTGAAAATCATTGAGAGCACTTAACACGTTATCAAACAATAACACAAGTCATAAAATCAAGGAAAATATAGCAAACAAGGAACACTCACCTAGTTATGCAAAACAACGTGCAAAATATCCTTCCGAATATTACACTCAGTCATCGAGAAAACCTATGATTAAACGAGAAAGAATATTACAGTTCATCTAACACAAACAATTAGGTGAAATCGAAGAAACCCGACAAATGATGAATAAAACGTATAAAAATGACTTTAAAGTGAAACGAGGGCATTTGGACCTGTGGACGGAAATGACTAGGGTTTCATAAACCAAACGTAAAACCAAACTAAAAGGGTTATAAAATTTCCAACGGAAACACTTGAACCAAAGGCAAGTCGGAATCCAACTAGATAGGCTAAGAAATGTTGTTTTCGGAATCGTTTATGTGGTTCAAAATCGTCTCATATTCAAGTAGATATTATAGACTAAATGTCTTGATGAAATTCACTTAAAACCTTACTTGGAAGTAGTTCACTTGTGGCCGAGAAAACCCTAATTCATACCTCTATATTTTGGTAAAGAGTAAGTAATCATTTGGAATTTGAAACTAAAGAGGTAGCATGTTTTAAAATGGTAGAACGGTCATGGTATTTGCCAAACACATATATATATATATATATATATATATATATATATATATATGTTCAAATAGAAACTTAGCCCTCGAACACCTCCCGAGCGAATCGATGGAATTGTTAATGAAATACGTTCAACTTGACACAAAACACATTTCCAAAACCATTTTAACTCATTCTCATGACAAGAAAAGAAACGGACAGCATTTCCCCTAATTTTCTTCACTTTCACCCTACAATTAAAAACCCATTCTCATACCATTAATTACAATCACACATATGGTCCAAAGGTAATAAAACATGTCCAATTACGGCACAAAACTCTTCAATCAAAGCCAATTAGAGACTCCAAAGCCAACTATAAGAAAACCCCCAAATCAAAACCCTAGAACCGGAAATTATCCCCACAAGCGGAAATTTTCCGCAATCAACCGCAATTAACGTACACAAGTTTCAATTAACACCATTTTAATCCATCAATCCAAGGCAAATCCATGACTATCATATAAAATCAGGAAAATTCCCAATAAATCAGAAAATAATCCAACTTGACCTAAAACCATGAAATCATTCGTAATATAGCATGATTAACCCTTACAAACTGCTAATTAACCAACTTTAGAACAAAAGGAGGTTTCTTAACAACTCACCTTATGAGTTCAAGAAAGGTAAAAACTTACAACTTCCCCTCCAAAAACAACTCCACTAGCACCTTTAACCCACCTTAGCTAGCACTTGTACAGAGTGGTTTCAAAATCCAACGGTGAAATCTCAAGATTTGAGTGAAAATAGAAGTTGGAAAATAAGAGTTTTCTTTCTTCTCTCAAAGGCACACGGCTGAGCTGAGGAACAAATGAAGATATTTTGGGCCAAAAGTAGGATAAGAAGAAAGGAAACAGCCGGTCAAAGCTTATGACCGACTGTGACACGTCACAATTCGGCCGGAATCTGGCCGGATTTTCGGCCGGATTCTTGGCCAGATTTAGGGTAGAGAGGAACCAAATTTTTTTTTTTAAAAACCCATAACAATCCGGCCAAGAACTGGCCGGATTTGCGGCCGAATTCGACCCTTCAATCTTTTCGCAAAATTTTTCCTCTTTTCCAAGTTCGATTGCCGCGCTCAACCGCACTTCCAACACGTACACATATATACATATCGCACACACAAATACACGAAATAACAAAACCTTTCTTTGTCGGAAACAAATGGTTAACAAATTTTCACTTAAGAGGGAAAGTGAGAATAAACAAAAGGCTAAAAAAATATAAAATTTTTTAGGGTTCTCACAAATAGTCCTTCATATGTTTGAAAAATCTTGTTTTAATCCATCACATTTAAAATGGTATAAATATGGTGATAGAGCAGTTATTGGGCATATTTTGCAGTGTTATTTTGGCCTAATTTTGGCTATTTACGGTGCTAAGTACTGAGATTTAACTCATATCTCATATTCGTATGAATTATAGGTGATCGGCATTAAAAATGATCTCGCGGGGTAGATTTCCAGAAGACTTGTCGTCCCAGGGCGTGACCACGCCTTGGAAGGTGGACGAAACCGAAAGACGGACCGTGGTCCATGTGGACCAGGCACATGGGATCAAAACTCCAAAAGGGAAATGGCTTTTGTAGAATCAATTGCACCAGACGTTTCCTTTTTTGACTCTTCTTGGACGGCGGCTATAAAAAGAAAAGGACAAAGCAAGATTGAGCATCATCAACTTTTTAGCCTTAGCTTTAATTTTTCTTTTCCTACTTTTTGTCAGCCGCTTTGTCCTTGCTCTTTCGGTTGCTTTTGTTTCGCCTGCGGCGAGCGGCCAGACATTGAATTTTCTGCGGATTGCATCTGGGCTCTGTACAACGGAGACCCCTTTTTTCACTTTTTGCTTTTGACTCTTCTAAATTCCGTGAGATTCCTTTTTGGGTTTTTCCAATTCTTCAGCAATCAATTGAATGTATTCAATTAAGCCACGCGGGATTGACACGATGAGGAGCGACTAATTTCCTCCTCTACCCAAAGGTTAACGCGAGGGCGCGGTCCATAATATCTGTGAGATCTAACCAAATCTTCATTATTTCTCTCAATTTATTGCTATTCGTGCATTTCCTGAATTAATTGTTCATGGGTATTTGATTAATTGAATATCAACGGCCGGGTATTTAATTTAATTTAATAGCCTACTGCCACGTTAATTAAATAGAATCCGTAATTGTTCATTTAGTTAACACCCCGTGGCAACCACCATAATTGGCTTTATGATGGGGAAATGCAGGATCTAGTTTAAATAAACCCTCTTAGCGTGTTTATTGGTTAGGGTTGGGTTCTTCTAGCTTTAATGCAATTGGGTAATTAAATTCCTACGGTCGTACCTAGGGTTGTTATCTGATTAGGGAAGCAGTCAATGGTCGTACCTTGACTGTCGAAAAGGTAAGGAAGAATTGGTTGTCAGAGCTTATTGATAACTATAACCAACCTAGTGATGAATGGGTGAAATATCTTTGCATCGATGATCATTTAATTGGACCGTGCCTGAGCAGTTGATCCTTTGGGTGGAATTTTGTTAATTGCTATTTTTAGTGAATTGTGCTTTGTGAGTTAGTTTTGAATTTTGTTTGTTTTATTTTATTTTATTTTTATTTGCCTCCCTTTGAAAATCCCCCAATTTCGTTCTACTAATTTGGAAAGAAATAATTTCCTACCTGCTCCCTGTGGAATCGATCCTACTTGCCATTGTACGCAAAATTAGTATTTTTATAGACAAATCGGTATATCGGATCAAGCAAACTCTTCGGGAACAGGGTGAATCAAGTAACCCATTGCACACCTAGGGTCCCTGCTCCAGTACTTGGATTTGTTCTATAATTAATTAATTAAGGTGGTAATTAGGACTTTTTAGTAATTATTATTGCACATGTTCGGCACCTGTCAATTTTTGGCGCCGTTGCCGGGGAGTTGGCATTTGGATTATTTGTTTCTTTTCAAATTCAGTTTTTATTTTATTTTTATTTTTATTTTATTCTATTCTTCTTAGTATTTTTGCTAGTTTATGCCCCGTTCTTCTCGCACAGGTGAATTAGTGTACGACCCTGAGGTTGAGAAGGCAACGCGTAGGCGGAGGCAAGAGACCAAGAGACAAAAAGAAGGGCACTTATTTGCTGCAAACGAGTCAGCGGAAGACGGAGTAAGCATGACCAACACCCAAACATTGAAGGAGCTGGCTGCCCCGGAGTTGACTCACCAGCCCTTATGCATCACATTCCCCACTCTGGCAGAGAATACTGCTTTCGAGCTGAAGTCGGGGTTGATTCACCTCTTACCTTCTTTCCATGGTCTCTCTGGCGAAGAACCCCACAAACATGTCAAGGAGTTCGAGGTAGTTTGCTCCAGCATGAAACCTCCTGGGGTCACTGAGGAGCAGATAAGACTTAGAGCTTTCCCCTTCTCTCTCAAGGATGCAGCAAAGGATTGGCTATACTACCTACCAGCGGGTAGTATTACCACATGGGCACAGTTAAAGAAGAAATTTTTGGAAAAATTCTTCCCTGCATCCCGGGCTGCGAGTTTGAGGAAGGAGATCTGCAGCATTAAACAATATCCCGGTGAGTCCTTGTATGAATACTGGGAAAGGTTTAACAAGTTGTGCACTAGATGCCCGCAGCATCAAATTAGTGAGCAACTGTTAATCCAATACTTCTATGAAGGGCTCCAACCAACAGATAGGAGTATCATTGATGCTGCGAGTGGGGGAGCACTTGCAAACAAGACACCGAGGGAAGCGTGGGAGCTCATCGAAGCCATGGCAGAGAACTCCCAGCAATTTGGCTTACGTGAGAGCAACCCTCCCCGTAGAGTCAACGAGGTAGAGACGTCATCCCTCCAGCAGCAGATATCGGAGCTAACATCCGTTGTTCGACAATTAGTGGTGGGAAATGTGCCCCAAGTAAAGGCCTGTGGAATCTGCACAAATATGGGCCACCATACTGACTCATGCCCTATATTGCAAGAGGATGGGGCTGAGCAAGTGAACATGGCTGGAGGCGTGCCCGCGCCTCGTAGGCAATACGATCCGTATTCCAACACGTACAATCCGGGTTGGAGAGATCACCCCAATCTCAGCTATGGTAGTAGGCCACAAAATGCATTCTCCAATCGGCCTCCAGGATTTCAGCAACCGTGGCAACATAAGTCTCAACTCTCATCCTCAAGCTCAGGGAGTTCTTTGGAAGAAATTGTCAAGAGTTTGGCCAACACTACCACTCAACTTGTCACAACCACCACTCAGTTCCAACAGGACACAAAATCAGGCATGAAGGATATGGAGATTCGAATGAGTCAAATGGCAACTGCCATTAATCGCCTAGAGTCCCATGTTTATGGAAAATTGCCATCTCAACCCGAGCCAAATCCCAGGAATGTAAGTGCTATGACATTAAGGAGTGGCAAAGAGGTGGATGGACCTAAAGTGGTAAATTCGAAAAGTAAAAGTGAGGAGGAGATAGAAAAGGAGATTGAAGAGGAAGGGCGCATTCGCGAAGAGCCTAAGGTAACATCTATTCCTTCGATCCCTATTAAATCTAATATAGCTCCTTTTCCTTGCAGGTTGGAAAAGACAAAGAGGGCAGAGAAGGAAAAAGAAATCCTGGATGTGTTCCGCAAAGTTCAAGTAAACATCCCCCTATTGGACGCGATCAAGCAGGTACCCAAGTACGCAAAGTTTTTGAAAGACTTGTGCGTTAACAAAAGAAAGCTAAGGGGTGATGAAAGAGTGATGGTGGGAGAGAATGTATCAGCTGTACTTCAAAGGAAACTCCCACCCAAATGCGGAGATCCAGGTATGTTTGCTATCCCCTGTAAGATTGGTCATTCTAATATAAAAAATGCCATGATAGATTTAGGAGCTTCTATTAATGTGATGCCTAAGTCAATCTATGATTCCCTAAATTTAGGACCTTTAAAAGAAACGGGGATAATAATTCAATTGGCTGATCGTACATGTGCTTATCCGGATGGGATAGTTGAGGATGTTTTAGTGCAAGTAGATGGATTAATTTTTCCTGCTGACTTTTACGTGCTTTACATGGATGATAGAAGTGCCCCAAATCCATCACCCATTATATTAGGAAGACCATTTTTGAGTACTGCCCAGACTAAAATTGATGTTAGTAAGGGTACTCTCACGATGGAATTTGATGGAGAAATAGTCCACTTTAACATTTTTGATACAATGAAACATCCTGTTAACTCTCATTCTGTGTTTGCTATGTATACCACTAATCTCTCTGTGCAAGAATTTTCTAAGTTTGCTTGTAGGGGTAAATTCAAGGTTGCTGCGAACAAGTCCTATAGGATGAAAGCAATTCATGAGGTAAAAATGGAGAGAAAATTTAGGAAAAAAGTTGCACTCAATGGCTATGTGGATCCCGGAGGAAGGCCACCAATTACAAGGAAAATTCAATTACATCCAGACTAAAGAGTGGTGCTATGTCTAGCCAAAGACATTAAAAAAAGGCGCTGCTTGGGAGGCAACCCAAGGCTTCTTTTGTTTTAGTTTTCTTACATTTTTGAAGTTTTTGTTAAGTGTTAGTGTCATTTAGTGGGTTGTTATTTTGTGACAGGAAGTTGGCAGTTAGACATGCCCACGCTAGGTCATCACACCTAAGGAATGGAGTTTTGAAATTGACGGTCAGACGACTATAACTTCTAAGGCGTGCCCACGCCTTCCAACCCTTCCGAAAAAAAAAATTTTCAGTCTTCTCCTTCCTGTTGGTGTTACGTCCGCCGCCACCACACCACCTTGTGCACGCAGCCGTCTCACCTCCTCCGCCTTAGTGTCTCACTTTCTCTCCCCGGTGGTCAGGGAAGTTTCTTTTCTTTTCCCCTAATGCTTCATTTGTCTTTTCTACATTCAGGACAATGTAGGTTTTAGGTGTGGGGGGATTAGTGGCTTCCATTATTTCTTTTTTCTTTGTTACTCAAAAAAAAAAAAACAAAACAACACAAAAAAAAATGAAAAAAAAATAAAACATTGTAGTTAGGCGGCTTTTTGGCTATTTCTATGCTTGTTAGTATTAGGGCATGTTGCTGTGATGAATGACACAATCAAAGTGAGTGGGTATGTGGTCGAATATACTAGCTGTGCATTTTGTTTCCCTTGGCAGTGTCGTTGAATGTTGAATATGCTGGAATTGACCCATTCTTGTAACTTTTGGGGGAGCTTTTGAGCCTTATATGAGCACATTATTCTTGTTTGCTCTATTTTTGTTTGATTGAGTGGGTATCACACATGGTATTGGCATTCTAGAACTTGCTAGTTTATACATGTCAAGGCCACATTTTTGTTGAATTGGATGCATTTGAAATGATAAGGGCATTTAGGATTTAACCCTCTTTAGCTATCTAAAAAAATCAAGCCCTCATCTTATCTCCCAATAGTGAACCAATTTGAGCTTTTGTCCTTCGTTTCTGGTTGTTATCCGTGTTTGTTAACCCAAGACCTCTTTAAACTTTCTTGTTTACCCCTGTGTTGTCAAGGGATGCCTGAATTCCATCATTTGTGCAAAGCAAACAAAATTGGGGTTGCAAGTGCTGTTAGATTAGGAGCTATATGATGCTATCCTTGTATAAAGAAGGGAAAATTGGAAAAAGGCCACTGACCAGAGGACTTTGGCTTACAGGGCGTGCCCACGCCTTACAGGACTTTCTCCTCAAAAAAAAAAAATCCTGAAGAGACCTCGTGACCAGAGGACTATGGGCTACAAGGCGTGCCCACGCCTTGCGAGCAGTATTCAATCAAAAAAAAAAGAGAGAGAAAGAGAAAAAAATTGGGGACACTTGTACAAAGGGTACAGCAAATGAAAACTGCCTTGTTTGTGAAACTCCTCCGGTGAAGCACTGTGGTTATTGGTGGGTTTCAGACATTCTCTTGACACTTTACCCCCTATCTATACTTTCTTAACCCGCTTTTCACCTGAGCCCCATTACAACCTTATTAAAGTCCCTTTGATTTATGTGTTTGGTTCACTTTTAAGTGGTGGAGATGTGATGAATGTGCAAGCCTATGGTAATGGCATTCCGTGATGTTGATTTGAGCGTTCCTAGTATTCATATATATTCTTTGAATTACAACGGGTCCGGTGTGCTCTACTTTTGGTGATATTGTCAGGGACACTAGATGCTTGTGTTAGTATAGACTACTGCATGACCTCCGCTCTCTTGGTTGTACTTCTGAGCTTTGAAATGCTTGAGGGCAAGCATTGTCTAGGTGTGGGGGGATTTGATAGAGCAGTTATTGGGCATATTTTGCAGTGTTATTTTGGCCTAATTTTGGCTATTTACGGTGCTAAATACTGAGATTTAACTCATATCTCACATTCGTATGAATTATAGGTGATCGGCATTAAAAATGATCTCGCGGGGTAGATTTCCAGAAGACTTGTCGTCCCAGGGCGTGACCACGCCTTGGAAGGTGGACGAAACCGAAAGACGGACCGTGGTCCATGTGGACCAGGCACATGGGATCAAAACTCCAAAAGGGAAATGGCTTTTGTAGAATCAATTGCACCAGACGTTTCCTTCTTTGACTCTTCTTGGACGGCGGCTATAAAAAGAAAAGGACAAAGCAAGATTGAGCATCATCTATTTTTTAGCCTTAGGTTCTCTTTTTCTACTTTTTGGGGAAGATTGGTCAGACGGTTTTCTTTTGGTTTTTCATTTGTTCCTTCTGCGGCTCTGGGTCAGACATTGGAGACTTTCTCCGTTGCTGTAGCTTTTGCTTTTGGCTTCTGTACAATTTTTCCTATTCGACTTTTGCTTCTACTCTCGCTCCAGGGGTACGAACACGAAACCCAACAAAGGGAAGCGAAGCTTTTTCAGCAGTTCCTACGTTAATTCATCTTTTTCAATTCTTCGGCAATTAATTGAATGAATTCATTTAAGTCACGCGGGATTGATACGATGAGGAGCGGCTAATTTTCTCCTCTACCCAAAGGTTGACGCGAGGGCGCGGTCCATAAAATCTGTGAGATCTAATCGAATCTTCATTATTTCTTCCAATTTATTGCTATTCGTGCATTTTCTGAATTAATTGTTCATGGGTATTTGATTAATTGAATATCAACGGCCGGGTATTTGATTTAATTTAATAGCCTACTGCCACGTTAATTAAATAGAATCCGTAATTGTTCATTTAATTGACACCTCGTGGCAACCACCATAATTGGTTTTATGATGGGGAAACGCAAGATCTAGCTTAAATAAACCCTCTTAGCGTGTTTATTGGTTAGGGTTGGGTTCTTCTAGCTTTAATGCAATTGGGTAATTAAATTCCTACGATCGTACCTAGGGTTGTTATCTGGTTAGGGAAGCAGTCAATGGTCGTACCTTGACTGTCGAAAAGGTAAGGAAGAATTGGTTGTCAGAGCTTATTGATAACTATAACCAACCTAGTGATGAATGGGTGAAATATCTTTGCATCGATGATCATTTAATTGGACCGTGCCTGAGCAGTTGATCCTTTGGGTGGAATTTTGTTAATTGCTATTTTTAGTGAATTGTGCTTTGTGAGTTAGTTTTGAATTTTGTTTGTTTTATTTTATGTTATTTTTATTTGCCTCCCATTGAAAATCCCCCAATTTCATTCTACTAATTTGGAAAGAAATAATTTTCTACCTGCTCCCTGTGGAATCGACCCTACTTGCCATTGTACGCAAAATTAGTATTTTTATAGACAAATCCGGTATATCGGATCAAGCAAACTCTTCGGGAACAGGGTGAATCAAGTAACCCATTGCACACCTAGTGTCCCTGCTCCAGTACTTGGATTTGTTCTATAATTATTTAATTGAGGTGGTAATTAGGACTTTTTAGTAATTATTATTGCACAGGTTCGGCACCTGTCATATGGTCCCTCACTTCTATAAAACATACCGCTATGGTCTAAAATCTCATTTTGGGCCAATTTTCTAATCAAAACTTAAACAAAATTATCAATATGTGAACTGAATCACTAAAATCACCAACCACATTACTGTTTTCCAGGTCCAAAACTCCAACCAAAAATTTAATGAATCGTGATAATAGCATGATTTTTTCTTTAAAAAAAATATTTGTATAAAACTATTGAATAAAAGAAAAGGCAGAAAAAAGTGGAAACAAATCCTGTTGAAATCAAAGGTATTATGTTGCTAAGCTCAATTGTTAGATTTTGACTAGTTTTAGACTTTTGATTTCTTAAGCCTAAATTATGGCTTTAATGGGCAAAAATGTCATGTGTTGGGCATGTGACCTTTTTTTTCCCTTTTAGGTCAGAAATGTTGATTTTGGTTTCATATTTCTTTTGAAAATATGGACACTTGAATAGTGCATGCATTTTTTGTTTGTCAAAAATTGGCGGCAAATGGGTTTAGAGACCAAATTGATACATTTTGTGTTTGTGAGTACCATTTTGCAATGGGGAAGGGTTGGGTAACTTGGGTTGGATGCTAAGGTAGAAAGGATTATCAGAAAGAGATCCTTAGTTCAAGACCTTTCGCTAATCAAAAAAAAAAAAAAAAGTACCATTTTGGTCAGTTCTGATATCAATCATTTCTTTGTGTGGGTAAGTCTGATTTCAATTTTCTCATCAAAGAAAACCACATTAATGTCGCTCGATGAAGAGGATGATTTCCTCTTGTCAACCATGGCTGGAAGACCATGTCATGTGTTCATCTTTTTTCTTTTTTTTTTTTTAACTTTTTCATTATGGTTTCATTTTATGAGATATTTCAGGTATTTAAATTTTCCTTTATGAGATTTTTTTTAGTTTTTCTTTTTTTAAATTTAGGTCTGTCATGGATTGAAATTTCACTTTGGTCTAGTATAAATCATACATTGCACATGGAAAATATCTTAGAAAAGAAATCAACTTAATGCATACTGCTAAAGCAGAGGAGATTTGGATTTTTTTCAAAGAAATTAAACCGAATAGGTACAGAAATTATAATAAAACAAAAATGATGATGGCAGACTTTTTCTTTTTCTTTTTTTTGTTGTTATTTAAAGTGGTGACGGACTTAGTATTAAGCAACTTTAAGGCTTTATTATGGTGAATGAGACTGGCAACTTGTTAAGCCAGTAAAGTCTAGTAGGAAATGATCCACTTATCATGGTATTCAATTTTTTATCCAATAGAAACTGTTGACTTATAGACAATCTGTCAAAAAAAAGTTTTTGTTTTTGGTATATTATTGTTGACCTGTAGGCAATGTATTCAATGCTAGCATATGGTGATTTTTTTTCCTTCTTTATTTTTTTCCCTTCTTTATATTATTGTTGGCAAGTAGACAATCATTCAATGTTAGTATATGGTGATATTCGTTTTTTTTTTTTTCAACTGTGAGTAAGGTTATCAATATGGTTTAAGTAAATTTGGTAGGAATCTATTTCTGAAATAGCAATCTGATTACCATTTTTTTGTATTTGTCTTTTATCAAA